CTCCGTTCAGCAGCGACACGTCCTGCACAACGATCCGCACGCCGTCCCGCGCCATCCACGGCACGTAGAGCACAGGACTCACGCCGTCCAGCACAACGTGGCGCAGCGTCACCTCGCTCGCGCCGGCAGGCACAACGAACACCGACTGCAGCGTCACGCCCTCGCGGAAGAACACACTCGGCGCAGTGCCCACAGCGGACGGCAGCGCGGGAGCTCCCACAGGCACGCACGCCTCGCCGTACCCGCCGCTGCCGCACAAGCACACGCACACACCGTCCTTCATGCTCGCCGTCGCCGTCCCGGGCGCGTAGCAGTGCGTGTCCCTGTCGCAGTCGTCGCACCCAGCAACGTCGATGCTCCCAGCGTCGCCAAAACCAGCCGCTGCGTACTCCTCCGCCGTCGACAGGACACGTCCACCAGCGTCGTTGCACGCCACCCTCAAATGCGCCCCAGCCGCAAGCGACAGGCTCAGCGACAGCATCCGCGGCAGCAGCGCTCGGTTGCGCACAAAGCTCAGCGTGCTCCCAGCAGCGGTCACGGCGCCAGCGGCGTAGAGCATCTCCCTCGAGACGCCGTCGTGCACGTTGCCCTTCGCCAGCAGCATCGACCCACCAGCCAGCCCCACCGTCGAATAGAACGCCACCGCGTAGTCCTCCGTCGACAAGAATTCGCTCCGCACAAGCGCCACAGCGGAGCCCGACACGCTCACAGCCCCACGCACGGACACCGCGTGCTTGCACAGCAGGAAGTCGCTGTCAACAAACGCCACCACGGAGCCGCCGCTGGCCGCGACACCGCCCTCCACCGACACGCACAGCCCCAGCACCGTCTGCACCAACAGCCCGTCCACGTACAGCGCTCCGCGCGACGACAGCGCCACGCCGCCAACAAACAGCACGCCAACAGCGTCGCGAAACACCGCCGCCATATGCGTGCGCGCAATGGTCAGCACGCTCCCCGTCAGATTCACGTTGTGCAACACAAGGCACGCGGACGCGTCGCCAAGGCCGTAGGCGCCGCGGTACGCAACACGCGCCTCTGCAATCAGCACCGAGTCCACCACAGTGACGCGCGAGCCCGGCGGAAATCGGTTCG